GCCTTACAGGGCTAAAAAAATGTGTGCCACCTGCTCCCAATACAGAGGATGCCTCTCAGGGGATCCTGCCAGGCCCTGAGGGTAACTGAAAGCAGCCCAGAGGCAGAAGATCACAATCACAAGGTTAGCCTCCCCCTGCTGGCTAACCCCCCTTCCACTGGCACTCCCCTCCCCAAGCAGGGAAGAAGTAAGCTCTGGTCAGACCACGGAGAGGGCAACACCAAAGAGATGGCAGGTGGGGCCACTACCAAAGGACCAGGGAAAGGCCCAGCCTCGCTGCAGGATTCAGTTGTATCTGTGCAACTCAGAGGGACAGGGGATAGGCCCGATGCCAGGCACAGAACCCCAACAGCAGAGAGGGCTCCCACCACTGACGCCTGCCCCAACCCTAGAGGGAGTCCTAAAATTCCTGAGTGCCCGCGCAGCAAGCTGGGCCCCCTACTCAGTGGAAGGCTGTGTGCCCCTGTGGATGTGACTGTGAGGGACAGGAGACAGAGTTGCTGTAATCCTCCAACTTCACAGCACCCCTCTAAGAGGCTATGCCAAGTCTCAAACAGAAAATAAATAGCAATTCAACATCACAGAAGATAACCTCTATGAGCTGTTTCCTCATCTGTAAAACAGATAGCCTTTATTTCATATGATTTTAGTAGGAATTAAATGAGACCACTTTTATAAAGTGCCTAACACTACTCTGTAGATACTCAATAAATGGTAATTCTGATTAAAACACAAACACACCCAACAGAAGAGATGTCACAGGGCAGGCTAGGCCTCATGCCAAAGTTGTGGATAAACAATAAGGGAAACGGGTTCAGGGGGAGAAGTCAGAGCTGCTGCCGTGGACTGGAGTGGGCTGGGAAGACCGCCCATAGGGGTGGAGTCTGAACAGGCCCTAGAAGCTGCTTCATCAGCAGGGCACTGGGCTGGGCATTCCCACGTTTGTCCTCTATACCCGTCTTAGAAGACAGATACAGTATCTTCGCCTTACAAGTGAGGCAAGTCAGGTACAGAGAAATGAGGCACCTGGCCAAGGTCACTGGTACCAAGGGGCAGGGACAGGGCCCAGGATTTCTGACCCTGTCTTTGCTTTCCCAGAGCTGCAGGAGCAGGGGTGGGAGCTCAGCTGAACGAAGTCCAGCAGCATGAGCAGTCGAGGCCCTCCAAGTGTCCTGACACTTCTGGAGACACATATTCAATACCTGAAGGCTTCCTCCCAGCGCCCAGCTGGCCCTCCCCTCCCACTGCCCTGCCGTCAGGCAGCTGTTTTCCCAAAGAGAAAAAGATCACCCCTTTCTTTTTAGAGAGTGCCATCTGGGCTTCTTGAGACAGTTTCAAGGTGACCTTTAAAGTTGTATCTCTCTCCTGAGAAGTGGGAGAGGGGAGTTCTCGTCTTATTTTTACAGGAAACCGGTTGTTGGGGCTGATATCCAGGTGTGTGAAGTGGGCAATAGTGACCCCTACCTCCTCTATGCACAACTTGTTTAAGGAGGAAATGGCAGGATACACCTTGCAAAGACCAAAACCAACAAAAATGTTATAACATGTGAAGAGACAAAGGAAGGCTTTTTTTTTTTTTTTTTTTTTTTTTTTTTTTTTTTTTTTTTTTTTTTTTTTTTTTTGTCTCTGGTCCAGAGACAAGATGAATACCTGCCTTATGGGCTCTCGGGCCTCTGCCAGGAGTTCCAGGTCAGGGATATGGGCAAACAAACGCAGGGGGTGCCAGTGGTGAGTTGTGTTACAGTGAGGCTTTCCCTTGGAGAAAGGCTAGACTGGGAGTCCGGTGAACCGGGGACAAAGTGGAATTCACACAGGGTCCAGATCACAAGGTGGGGAGGGGGCCAGCAGCAGACACAGCCTAAGGCTTCTTGGGGGTCATTCTCACAAGACTCCCAATTGTCTAAACTTCCCCCTGCCACACCACCAGCCCCTCCCTACCAAGGAAAAGTCAAGAATCCCTGACTGTTGGAAGGAGCAAAAAGGCCCAGAGACGGGCCAGATGTCACCCCCTGAGCCAGTTAGAAAAGAACCCAGAGGCATTACTCTAGAACTTCAGCGCTGGCCGATCCCACCCTCTCACAACCATCTCCAACGGGGTCTACTTGAGGCTCTGCTCAATGATCAGGGCAGGAAGGAGAACTGCACACAGCACTTTCTAATCTTAAAGGAGGGGTACATTGCAAGGGAAGCAGCTGCCAGAGATGACAGAATGAGGGCTCCAACACAGCTCCTACCCACACTGTGGTGCTGGGAGAACAGGCAAGACCCCAGAATGAACTCCTAGGTGCTTGGGGATCTGGGCGTGCAGAGGGAGTGTGGCCTCAGCCCCCACCCCCGTCCCCTAAGTCAGTAGGTGCTATCTCCCCTCCCCCCAGGACCAGCCCGGGAGGCAGCTGAAGTGAAAAGAAGAACAGTGGGTAGGACACACCCAAAACCCTGAAACCTTAAGGAAGGACACCCAGTGGCAGCCTAGGGTTGAGAGATTTGTAATCCTCCAACTTCACAGGAAGACAGCACGGCACGTGGGTGGCTGAGGTAGGGATGCACTTGCCTTCGGTGGTTAAAATACCAACAGGGGCAGCTGCCACTCACTGAGTGCTTCCTGTAGGTACCCAGTTGACTGTACATGCATGAATTTATGTCACTGTCACATCAGCAGCACTATAACTAGGTACTATTACTTCCCCCATTTTTATATATGAGGAAACTGAAGCTCAGACAGGCTAAGTGGCAGAGTGGTGGAGACTTTATCTAACCGGAACTCTACCCTGCAAAGGGAAGGGGAAAAAATGGGCGCTCACTTTTGCCACCTGAACAGGGACCCTTGAGATCCTTTGGTCATTAATTCTCTCGACTCTCTTCCCCAGAATGGCCAGGTGCTAGGGCCCCTCTGTTTTCAGAACGCCCTTCCAAGCCAGAGACACAGACTTTTGGAACTGCAAATGCCCTCGGAGATCATATCCAGCCTCCTCGTTTTACAATGGGAAAACTGAGGCCCAAGGCGGAATGACGTGCCAGGGTTACCCGAGTCAGTGGAATGGCAGAAATGTCGGTCCTGGAAGGGGCCAAAGATCAGCTGACAGATGGGGAGGCATGACTGGCCCAAGGTCACAGAGGGAGGTGGGATGAGAAGCCAAGTCCTAACTTTCTAGACTGATGCCCTTGCCATGGCATCATCTCTGTTCTCCAGCTGCTCAGGGTCCCTGGCACAGGTTCCGGTGGGGACAAAGCAGGCCAAGCCTGACCCCATTAAAAACAGATATCAGGCCTGCAGGGACAAACTCCTAACTGCCCTGAGTAGGATCTCTGTGGTCATACTGTCGTCCCAATAGAAGGCACTGAGACTGGCAGTGTGTGTACCAGCTCCCGGCGCCCTAACACAATGCCAGATGTCGTTGGGAGGTGAGGGAGATGGAGAGAGAAGGGCAATTTATAAACAGTGATTGTGATCAGGTCTCCTCCTGATCTTACACAGACAAATGACACATCATGGTCACCGGTTTCTTACAAAAAATGCAGACACTGGTTTCATGACTCAATTGATATGGTCACATTTAGAGATTCTTGCCAGTTTCACGGCTGGGCAAGACCTGCAGAAAAAGGCCCCAGCTTGTTCAAGGTCATGTTGTTGTCAGAATCAGTACACATAGCTCCTCTTGCCTAGTCCTTGACTTTTACCAGGAAGCTGGCTGCCATCAGGGCATAGGTGCTGGTGGCCCAGCTCCATATACAGGCCCTGCTACCGTCACAGCACCAAAGCTACACGCCAGCAACCAGATCTGTCAAAACAGAGTGTCCTCCTGCAGCATGTCCCAGAGCCTGCCTCACACAAGCCTGGCATCACCACTCAGCTCCTACACGCCCTTGGAAAAGCTGCAAGGCTTCCTACCAAGAGTCACCAACTCCCCAAACCCAAATCTGCAGCATCCCAGATCCTCATGCCTTCCACAGCTAGCTGAGGCTAAAAACTCAAAGGCAGCTTCCAAAGCCCCCCGGACACACACTTCCAGGGACTTCTGGGCTATGTAGGCTCCGGTGAATTCCATCAATCACCCAGCAGAACAGAGTGTTCAGGCCTAGGAGGGAGGGAGCCCAGGGAGGGGAGGGAACAACTTTTCTAGTTCCTTCTCCCAAAAAGAACATTTCAAAGTCTCTTCAGACCAGAGCATCCCAAGCCAATCCACTTGTCCCTCTCCCACTTGGTTGAGTGGGTGGCCAGCATGACTGGCCAGCCCATATGGCACCTTGAGACACAGCCGGGTGCCAACCTGGAGGTGAGCAGGGGCCAGACCAGGCTTCAACCTCCTCCACTCCCCTTCCACCTCCAAAACAGACTTCAGAAATTTCCAGGGCCCCAGTCCCATAAACTGTATAAGGGATGGCATTCCTGGGCCGGAAACTGACTCAGGGGCTCCCAGCCAGCCTGGGCAGGCAGAGCTGACAGATAACATTCTGGGAAAAAGGGAAGGTGATACTATGGGGATCCCTCATGTTCCGCCACACTTCTAGGTCTCCAGCACACGGGTCCCCTGCTATACTTAAACTCCTCAGACAGGCCAAGTAGATATACACTCCATCCTGGAACGCCCTCCCATGAAGCATGTAATTGCACTGGTTGTTGTTGACAGAGCAGGCTGTGCCACTTGCTGGAAGACACTCGTCTGGCTCACACACAGCTAGGTGCCTGGCTCCCCTCAGGGTCTGGCCCAGCCAGAGGAGACCTGCAGGCCTGGAGCCCTTGCTCAAAGTACCCAGTACCAGAAGCATCCCATGCTCTAACACTGCTTTCTCCCATGCACAAAGCTGGCTCCGATCTTGGGAAGGCTCAGACCACAGAGTTCAAGTTTGAGAAGAACAAAGATGGCTGGAGTGGTCCAGACCCTTATTGGATGGCTGGAGTGGTCCAGACCCTTATTCCCAGGCAGCCTCAAGTGGTAAGGATGGGACAAGAGGCTTACCAATTTGGTGTTATCAGAAGTGTCAGAGCAAACTGAACTTACCTATCTTCATGAGGCAGGCCAGCAGGATCCAGAGCGAGATCTCAAAGGGTGTGCGCACATGTGTGTAGTCGATGCCCAGGACTGGAAAGGCCTTTCGAGTCTTCATGCTGTGTTCAGTGACGGAATGATTAACAGGCCGGCTCTCGGGGGGAATCTCCGGTGGGGCGGTGGTGACATCCCCAATAGAGCGTTCCCGTGGTGGCTCTGAGCCTCGGATGGTGCTGGCAGTAGGACTGGGCTGGAGGCCATGGCTCCTGAGAACCGGTAGCAACCCCACCAAGGCTACCACCATGAGCAATGAAGGGAAGATTCGTGGGGGAGAGCGGCCACAGACGCCCGACCACAGAGGCATCATGCTGATCCCTTGGCTCAGCAGGCCTTGACTGTCAGCAAAGTGAGAGTAAGACCTGGGACATAGGTAGCAAGGGGTCAGCAGGTAGGAGACAGTCTGGGGCAGTTCCTAGGAAAAGTTCATGTTTTAGAGAGGTAATTGTGTGGAAGCAGATCTCTGGGAATGGAGGGAGGCTGGGTTTGCAATGGAGAACTCCAAACTGGGGAAAGGGGACAAGGACCCAGAAAGGACCACAGGAAGAGACTAAAAGGTCTGGAACTCCAGGCCTGGAAAAAGGGGTGGGGGAAGAGACTGCACCCTAGAGACAGAGGAAGGGACAGGATAGGCTGGACCCCAGGCAAGGAAAAGGAGGAGGGAAGGCTGGGACCCTTGGCTGAGGAAAGTGACTGAGGAGCTGGGACTCAGCTAAGGGAAGGGGCAGGGAGCCCGAGCTAAAGGAAGGGGAACGAAAGGGGTGGGAGCCAATCCAGGAAAAGAAGAGAGGGGGCTGGGAGCCCAGCCTGCGAGGAAGGAGTGAAGCCGGAAAGCGGCCCGGAGCTTCCCCACCCAGAGAAGGGCCGGGGTGCAGGCGCGCCGGGCTGAAATTCCGGGGAAATGGAGGGAGGCGGAAGGCGGAGGCAGGCGGCCTGGCAGGAGGGCACCTCGGCGCGGGCTGGGGGCGGCTCGCGGTGGGCCGGCAGCAACACACCCCTCCTTGCGGCCCCGGCGCAGCGCGGCGCTCCGCCCCGGCCCAGCTTCAGGTCCGCCGCGTCCAGTTCCAATGACAGCTCCAGCCCCGGCCCCAGCCCCGGCGGCGGTGCACTGATGCCTCGCTAAGCCCGGGGCTGCAATTTATAGGCACCAGCGAGCAGCCAGCGCAGCAGGCTAGAGAGACCTGTCAGCGCCCGCTCGTCGCAGCGACCCCTGTCGCCAAGGGAAGGAAGTACGCGTAAGAAGAAGAAGAGTCAGAAATGGCAAAAAAGGGACTGAGAAAGTCTAACTAACAGGGGTGAAATGCTTTACCATTTGCAAAATGCTTTCACATGACATCTGCAGTCTCATGAAGAGTTCCTAACAGTCTTGTGAAGGATATATTATTACCTTATGTATTTAGTTATTATATAACCTTGAGCAAGTTACTTAACTTCTCGGTTCCCTAGCTTTCTCATCTGTAAAGTGGAAATAGTAGCAATACCTATTTTGGAGGGATGCCATGATGACTAAATGAGATAATCTACATGAAGTATTTAGAATACAGCCCAGCATATAGAACCATTATTATGATTCCAGCTTTGCAGATCAGAAAACTTAGTTAGTATATAGTTACATTCATTTGCTAGGGCTGCTGTAACAAAGTACCACAAACTGTGTGGCTTAAAGAACAGAAATTTGGGGTGCCTGAGTGGCTCAGTCGGTTAAGGGTCTGACTCTTGATTTTGGCTTAGGTCATGATCTCATAGTTTGTGAGATTGAGCCCCAAATTGGGCTCTGAGCTGAGTGTGGAGCCTACTTGGGATTTTTCTCTCTGCTCCCCACCCCCTCAAAATAAAATAAATAAAACATTCTTAAAAAATAAAGAGGGACGCCTGAGTGACTCAGTAAGTTAAGCATCCTTACTTCGGCTCAGGTCATGATCTCCTGGTTCATGGGTTCGAGCCCCACTTTGGGCTCTCTGCTGTCAGCACAGAGCCTGTTTGGGATTCTCTGTCCCCCTCTCTCTCTGCTCTTCCCCAGCTCTCTCTCTCTCAAGAATAAATAACATTGTTTAAAAAAAATAAAGAAAGAACAGAAATTTGTCTCATACTCTGGAGACTAGAGGTCTAAAATCAAGGTGTCAGCTGAGTTGTTTTTCTCTGGGGCTGTGAGGGAGAATCAGTTCCTTGCCCCTTTCCTAGCTTGTTTGTTGACAGTCTTTGGTGTTCGTTGATTGTGGCACCACAAATCCAGTCTTCACATGGTGATCTCCTTGGGTCTCTGTCTTTGGGTCTAAATTTCCTTTTTTATTTTTTTATTTATTTTGAGAGAAAGGCAGAGAGAGAGGGAAACAAAATCCCAAGCAGGCTCTGCTCTGTCAGTGTAGAGCCTGATGCAGGGCTTGAATCCACGAACCACGAGATCATGACCTGAGTAGAAATCAAGAGTCAGCTGCTCAACCGACTGAGCCACCTAAGGGGAATCAGCCCCCAAATTTCCCCTTTTTACAAGGCCCACCAGTCAGATGGATGGGAGCCCACCTTAATGACTTCATCTTAACTTGATCATCTTCAATAATCCTATTTCCAAATACATTCACAGGTACTGAGGGTTAGAATTTCAACATCTTTTGTGAGGGTACAATTCAACCCACAGCAGTAGTGGAACTGAGATTTGAATGTATGGCGTCCATTGGAACTGGTAAGATTCAAGAGGTCATGGCTGTACACAGGAATCGTTGGAAAGCTTAGAGCAGCACCTAGCAACACCACATATATTTATCATTATCTTTCTTTGTGTGTCCTGAGGGCCTCAGATGTAGACTTTTGGTGTTAAGACTACATGAAGTTACACATTCAGTCACAAAGAATCATTGGTAGTCTAGAAGGAAGGCCTTCACATCTGCGAAATTGGTTCCATCATGAGACCACCACACCTATATACTGTGTTATGAATTTAAGACTTTCAGATGAATCATATCACTGTGTATTATGCATGTTAAAAGCATGATCTTATTAGAGCTAAATATTAAATATACTGTAATATTCATAACCCTGTTTTAGCAAGTCCTCAGTTTTTAACCATTCAAGGCCCATACTTCTCTTGACTCAGAGAGTCACATTTGGGCAGACCCTTCCCCCTGCAGATCTAGGGCAGTCTCAGGATGCTTGGACCCTGGGTGGCATCTCCCCCTGCCTAGGCCATGTCTGCTCCTCTGTCCCCTCATTGAATCTTTTCACTAAAAGTGATGGGAATTTTACAGAATTGCTGTAGCTACGACATCAACAGATATGTGGCAAATAATGTGTGGTATTAGGAAAGAATATGCTGGGTCACTTAATAGTTGTACATCATGACCAGGTCACATTTTGTTTCTGTCACTCAGTTTGTTCATGTGTATAAGAGGTGGGTGGGGTGAGGGGGCACCCTGGCTGGCTCATTCAGTAGAACATGTGACTCTAGATCTCAGGGTCATGAGTTCAAGCCCCACATTGGACGTAGAGTTCACATTTTTAAAAAGTGGTGGGGGGTGCCTGGATGGCTCTATAAGTTAAGCATCTGACTCATGGTTTTGGCTCAGGTCATAATCTCACAGTTGTGAGATTGAGCCCCTCATCAGGCTCTGAGCTGGGCATAGAGCAATTAAGATTCTCTCGCTCCCTCTCCCTCTGCCCTTCCTCTATGCACATGCTCTCTCTCTCTCTCTCTCAAAAAAAAAAAGAGGTGGGTACAACCATAATACAGACATGCCTCAGAGATGTTGCAAGTTCATTTCCAGACCACTGCAATAAAGTGAATATTACAGTAAAGCAAGTCAGATAGATTTTTTTGTTTCCCAGTACATACCAAAGTTATATTTATAGTATAGTGCAGTCTAGTAAGTGTGCAATAGCATTATATCTAAAAAAAAAAAAAAAAAAACATTGTGCCTACCTTTTTTTTTTTTTAAAGTAAGTTAGTTCTACACCTAATGTGGGGCTTGAACTCACAACCTGACATCAAAAGTCACATGTTCTACTGACTGAGCCAGCCAGGCCCCCCTGTGCATAACTTTATTAAAAAATACTTTATGGTTTTTTTGGCTTTCACCTTGCAGGAGGTGAAGGTGCAACTATCTTTGGTCATCTCGAGTCCAGATTAATCCGACACCAGGTGCCTCCGCCATGCAACCTCAGTTCAACCCCAACAAGATCAAAGTCATATACCTGAGGTGCACCATTGGGGAAGTTGTCTGCCCTGGACCTGTCGGCCCCCTAGGTCTATCTCCAGAAAAGGTTGGTGATGACATTGCCAAGGCAACCAGTGATCGGAAGGGTGTGAGGATTACAGTGAAACTGACCATTCAGAACAGACAGGCCCAGATTGAAGAGCTACCTTCTGCCTCGGCCCTAATTATCAAAGCCCTCAGGGAACCACCAAGAGACAGAAAGAAGCAGAAAAACATTAAACACAGTGGAAATATCACTTTTGATGAGATTGTCAACACTGGCCGTCATATGCAGCACAGATCTTTAGCCAGAGAACTCTCTGGAACCATTAAAGAGATCCTGGGACTGCCCAATCTGTGGGCTGCAATGTTGATGGCTGCCACCCTGATGACGTCAATAGTGGTGCAGTGGAATGCCCAGCTCGTTAAGAACTACGAACGAAAATAGTTCAATAAAGGATTATTTGGGACTTGTGGGTGGCTCAGTCGGTAGAACAATATGACTCTTGATCTCAGGGTCATGAGTTTGAGCCCCACGTGGGGTGTAGAGATTACTTAAAAAAAAAAAAGTAAGTTAAATAACATTTTTTTTAAAAAGGAGTATTTGAAAACCCAAAAAAGGAAACTTTATAGCTAAAAAATGCTAACCATCATCTGAGTTTTCAGCAAGTCATAATCTTTTTGCTGGTAGAGGGTCTGACCTTGATGTTAATGGCTGCTGACTGATGTTAGTAGGTGCTGAAGGCTGGGGTGGCTGGGGCAATTTCTTAAAATAAGACAACAATGAAGTTTGCTGCATCAGTTGACTCTTCCCTTCACAAATGATTTCTCTGCTATGCTGTTTGATAGCATGTTACTCACAGTAGAACTTCTTTCAAAGTTGGACACAATCCTCTCAAACCTTGCCATTGTTTTATCAGCTCAGTTTATGAAATGTTCCAAAGCCTTTGTTGTCATTTCAACAATCTTCACAGCATCTTCACCAGAAGGAGATTCCATTTCAAGAAACTACTTTTTTACTCATCTATAAGAAAACAATCTTTCATCCATTCAAGCTTTATCATGAGATCGCAGCCATTCAGTCCCATCTCGAGCCTCCACTTCTCATTCTAGTTCTCTTGCT